CTGAGGCAGGAGAATTGGTTGAACCTGGGAGATGGAGGTTGCAGTGAGCTGAGATGGCGACACTGCACTCCAGCCTGGGCAACAGAGAGAGACTCCATCTCAAAGGAAAAAAAAAATGATTTCTAACATGTATAAGTCAACAAACTTAACGTTAATACTGATGAGTAATCTAAGAAGAGGGCAATGATCATGAGTTTTTATGCTCTTTAACAACATAGCCTTGAAATATATAAAGCAGAGTTGATACAATTTCAGAGAAAAATACGCAAATATCAACCACAATAGATTTTAACAGAACTCTTTTAGAAAGGAATGTATCTGGCACACAGATTTTAAAATAGAGAATCTAATGGCACAATAAACAAGTCTGATATTACATCTACAGAGAAAGCTCTGCACCCAGATACAGATTCCTTTCATGCATATATAAAAATATATAATTGATCACATATTAGACAACAGAGAAAAATTTCAACAAATTCCAAAGAACTGATATCATAAAGACCATGATCTCTGAGCACAGAACACTAAAAATAAGACAGCCAAAAGTATATTTTACTTTACTTTAAAATAACCAATGGGTTAAAAAGGAAATGACCATGGGAATTACACAATCATTTTTTATATGAGAAGAAAAGCATTATTTATCAAATTCCATAGATATGGAGTTAGGTAGATGAAAAATGTCATGATATTAAACAAATCCATTAGAAAATAAAAATTTAACATGAATAAATTTAATGGTCAAGTCAAGGAAACAGAAAAAGAATAACATATTGCTACCAACACAGTAGAAGAGAGGCTCTGGATTTGGCAAGATGGTAGACCAGATACCTGAGAAGCCTCCTGCTAAAAACACATAGGTAAAATAAAACAGACATACTTTTAAATGTCTAGCTGGGCTTACTAAAGAGTAAAGGTGATTGCAGACGCTAGAAATGAAGAGGAAAGGAATACTAGCAGGTAATCACAAGAACTCCTGAAGCTCAAAAGGTAGGGATGAAGGCAGGATTTTCAGTTTCATTAATCTAGGGCAGGAGTTCATGCTCGTTTTTTGGTAAAAGGTCAGGTAGTGAATGTTTTAGCTTTGAGAGCCATATAGTCTTTGTAGCAACTACTCAATCCTGCCATTGTGATGTGAAAGCAGCCCAGCTGATACATAAACAAATGGACATGCTTATGTTCCAATAAGGCTTTATTTACCAAGATTAACAGTGAGCTGGACTTGATCCTAGGGCTATTGTTTGCTGACCTGTCATGTGGGGCTTGGGTTTTAATGCCCAGGAGGGGATAGGAAGTATGGCCTAGTGCCTATGCCAGGCAAACAGCAGAAACACACAAAACCAGGCCCTTGATGAAAGGGTAGATTAGAAAAGTCAGCCCACTACACTGTGAAACAAAAAGAAAGCTGGTTTGTCTCAAGACTGAGCTCTGGAGGAGCAAAAATAGGTCTTCTCTAAACACGTTCAACCATAGCTGATCCTGGCTGTTTGAACTTCAAATTAACACTTATTGTAATACTCATAATTGCTCTTGAGCCTGGGATATCCCTGGAGTGCCTGGCAGAAACAAAGGAAAAACATTTTAATGGTAGACCCCTTGAAGTTTGCTATGCAGAATTCTTACTGATAATGCACCACTAAAGTTGAATTCACAATCCAAAAAATATAAATTATGTAAGGAAACAATTCAACATCAGTGAAAATATATATGACAAATCCCAATCCTCAAGACTTCATTAAGTCAGATATGATAGAATATAGTTATAAAATATGTACGTTTAACATAAAGATATAAAATATTTAAAAATGAGAAGATGAGATATTCTAAAAAAGGCCAGACTTGAAAGAGAATTGAATACAACTTCCAGAAATTCAGCCCTAAATAGGAAAAATAAAAACAAATTCACTCAGATATGATATAGTGCAACTACAAAATACGAAAGACAGATCATAAAAGGGCACATTACCTACAAAGGGAGCTCATCAGATCACTCTGCAAACTCTTGGGTACACATGCATGACTCGAGAGGATGGGGCTGGGGTGGAGCATGTTCCTAACAGCTCCAGGTTATTTGTTTCCACAGGTTTCCAAGCCCTTATAGAAGGAGGTCAGGTGGTGTCTTCTGGGGAAAATTATGCCTAATACAATGCTAGGGCTGGAGTGAGCACTGGCCTCCTTAGCATGAACCCTTCTCTGGCTCAGGACAGAGGCCAAACTCTGGAAGGGAGATGACTGCTTACCCATTGCCAAGTATCCAGTGGCACATTAGAGAAAACCCTGTTCTGGCTGCCTAACGTAAAGCTGAAGACTGTCTAGGTCCAGGGCAGATGATCAGGTAGGTGGTCAGAGTGAAGGAACAGGCAGCAGGGATCATTTAGCAACATGCCCTAACTCAGAGTTAAAACTGGGCTCCTGTGAGGAGGCAGGAAGCATAATCCAAACAATGCCACCTGAAGGAGCCCAAGTCTCCACACCCAATTCCTGTGGTCTAGACTTTTGCAATGCTGTGCCTGCCACGCCGGAATTCTACCAGTGGGACCCAGTCAGCAGGAGGTAGGGCAGGGACCATCACTAAAGAAGCTCAACTTTGACAATGTGCCCTCTCAAAGGATTAGAAACCTATACACTGAATCTAGTACCACCACCATTTTACACTACAATGCTTTATAATTTTAAAGGAAAAAAAAAAACAACTTTCGATAACCCACCTCACTTGACTATCATAATATCATAGTAGGTTTCTGATTACTTTCAATTTACAAATGATCAGAATTTTTTTTTTCAGTGAAAATATATCAGAGTCGTGATTTGAAACCAGCTTGTAAGATTCCAGATTTTGTATCCTTTCCACTACCTATGCACTAGGGAAACCCTATCATAGAATAAGAGCTTACAGGGTAATGATCACTACTTGTTTCCAAACACCAGTATTATAAAGATATTACAGTATATTGTTAATATAGATTGAACATCCATTTGCTTTTTCAAGTAGACATCTGGTAGCCACTGTCCTCTTAGAATTTTGCTTTTTTCCTTCTCTTACTCCATATTTCAAATTTATTGTCAACTGTTCTCAGATTTTTCTTCTTAAAATCTCACAAATCCATTTTACTCCTTATTCTCACTGCAATTGCCTCAGAATCTCTGTAGAAGCAGCACAGAAGCACTTCTCTGCAAAACAAAGTTCAGAGGCTTTTCTCCTCCATGTGGCTCCATTCCCCAATTTGTTCTGCACTAAGTTGACAGTGAACTTTCCAAAGTCCAAAGTTCCACGTGAGCTTTCCATGTCAGTGCCACTGCATCTATTTTATTGGCAGCTTGTTACTTTCCGGATGAAATCCAAACCCCTTAGCACAGCATAAATGCCTGCTACGGTCTGAATGTTTGTGTACCCCCGTCTCCAGCACCCTCAAAATCTGTATGTTGAAACCGATTCTCAATGTATTAAGAGTTAGGCCCTTTAGAAGGTGATTAGGTCATGAGGCTAGAGCCCACATGAACGGGATTAGTCCCCTTATAAAAGAGGCTTGAGGGAGCCCGGTTGAGCCTTCAGCCATGTGAGCACCCACAGAAGGTACCATCTAGAGAAAGTAGGCCCTCACCAGACACTGAATCTGCTGGTGCCTTGATCTTGGATTTCTCAGCCTCTGGAACGGTGACCTATGCATTTCTGTTGGGTATAAATTACCCAGTCTAAGGCATTTTGTTACAGCAGCCTGGATGGACTAAGACAATGCCCTTCAAGGTCATAGGGCTGCCTCTGTCATCCTCGTCTGGACACTGAGCTCTTTGAGAATTGGGACTTCATCCATAATTACTCTAACCCAGTTTTAGCATGTCGCTTGTAGTAGATGCTTAGTAATTTTTTGTTTAATTAATTAATCAAGTTATAGAAAAATGTGATGAGCACTTTTTTAAAAAAGAGCTAGATCCCAAAACCAAACCTTTAGAATCATTATTGGTTTATTCTTGGGTGAAAGCATTTTTCCAATAGATACATTTACAATCTTTTTTTTTTTTTCTTTTTTAAAGAGTGTTTTGCTGTCGCCTAGGCCGGAGTGCAGTGGTGCCATCATAGCTCATTGCAGCCTTGAACTTCTGGGTTCAAGCAACCCTCCCACTTCTGCCTTCTCAACAGCTGGGACTTCAGGTGTACACCACTATGTCCAGCTAATTTTTTCTATTTTTTGTAGAGATATGGTCTTGCTATGTTGCCCAGGCCGGCCCTGAACTCCTGGCCTCAACTGATCCTCCTGCCTTGGCCTCCCAAGCGCTGGGAGTACAGGTGGGAGCCATCATCCTCAGCACTTTTTTTTTTAAAGAGATGGAGTCTTGCTATGTTACCTAGGCTGGACTCAAAGTCCTGGGCTCAAGTGATCCTCCCAAATAGCTAGGACTCAGGTGTACACCACCAGATCTAACTCTACAACAGGTATGCTTACATAGAACAGTGAAGAATACATAAACCTCGACGAGGCTGCTACAGTTTTCATTTCCCCTAGGAATCTAAGGCATCAGAAGACTATTTTTTAAAAAGATTATGTATTAGATACAGAAGCTGACTCCTGTTGAGCAAAATGGTGATAGTAAAAATGAAAAGGACTTGTAAAAAGAGCAGTGTGATTTAAGTAAAACCATCTCTGTGGGTAATTGCTGCTTTTTCTATCTCCCTTTTCTATTCTGACGAGATATAGATAGAAATTGAAATTGTAGTTTTGAAAGAAAGCTGAAAAGACGCAAGAGACTGGTTCAGCCTAGAAGGATATAGAATTATCTATGTAATGGCCAGAAATAGTAGAAGAGAGCCTGGACCTCAAACCAAGAAAGGTAAGGTCTGTTAACGACAAATACAGAAAAAAACAGTGGTGGGGGGCGGGGAAAGGAGGGTTTTAAAAACTAAAAGATAACATTACATTGCTTATATATTTTACATTCTATTTCTATGGTAATAGGTTAGCAAATCAGGTTGTTGCTAAGGGAAACAAGAATTTCATTCTGAGGCAATCATGAGAATTTTTCTAGAATCATCTCTTTATTGCTGTCTGCCCAGAACAATCTAAACCGGTAGTGGGAAGAGAATCAGTGTAGGAAGACAATATTGACAAGGCCAAACAACGACGTGGTGACTCACTGAGTCCTTGCACTCTCGAGGGAAACAACTACCTTAGAAAAAGCCATGCACTTTCGGCGGGGGCTTAACCATGTTAGGTGAGTAATCACTTCGAAGACTCCAATGGCAGCTTTGTTAATGTTCGGTCTGTATGGCCTTCTTAATATGTAAATGCCAAAACATTAGTAACTACTGATAACATTAATAGAATGCCAAAAACACTGCAGGTGCAAATATCTAGTGTGATGGATCTCTCCTCCCTTATATCTGTATTCACATCTCACCTTCATTTATTTATTTATTTGAGTCTCACTCTGTCGCCCAGGCTGGAGTGCCTAGGTTCAAGCGATTCTCCTGCTTTAGCCTCCAGGGTAGCTGGGAGTACAGGCTCTTGCCACCATGCCCAGCTAATTTTTGTATTTCAGTAAATGATCCACCCGCCTCGGCCTCCCAAAGTGCTGGGATTACAGGTGTGAGCCACCACACCTGGCCTAAATCTTACCTTCTTAATGAGCCTCCCAGGCCTTCCTGTCTAAAATTACACGTCCCTGCTACTCTGTAACTTCCTGAACCCTTCCCTGGTTTATTATTCTCCTTAACCCGGATCACCATCAAACATACTATAGATGGTATTTTACTTATTTGTGTTTATTGTCCATCTCTCATTAGAAAGTAAGCTCAGTCTACAGCCATACCACCCTGAATGCGTCCAATCTCTTCTGATCTTGGAAGCCAAGCGGAGTTGAACCCGATTAGGACTTAGATGAGAGCATGTAAGCTCAGTGAGAGCAGGAAGTTTTCTCCATTTTGTTCTCTGCCGTCTCTCCAGCACATGGAATCATGCCTTCAACTCAATAGCTGTCCAAAAACTATGTGAGTGCATTAGTGAGATCCACTTGGACCCACTGATGTGGAAGAAGATGATTTTAGGCTGAAAACATCAGAAAAACAGCAGCAGCAGAAAAAATCCTGATCTAAACTTCTTTTGCAGACATAAGCAATGCCTCCTAAAATATAACCTCCAGGAGGTTAATGACCAAAGAGGAGAGATGGACCACTTGCACCTAGAGGAGATGTTGCATAAACAAAACCTCATCAAAACTTTCTGTTCCTCGCACTTGTTTCTCATTAGTTCCCCACCATTCACTTTCTTAAAGTCCTAACCCTCTTTCTTACTAAGATGATATATAAACACTCAACTGTAGCTGTTTAGGGAGCCAATTCTTTGTGTAAGTCTCTTTCATTGACTTAGCATTGACTACATGAATAAACTTTGGCTAGGCACGGTGGCCCACGTCTGTAATCTCAGCACTTTGGGAGACTGAGGCAGGCAGAGTGCTTGATGCCAGCAATTCAAGACCAGCTTAGGCAACATGGTGAAACCCTGTCTCTACAAAAAATACAAAAATTAATCAGGTGTGGTGGTGCACACCTGTAGTCCCAGCTACTCAGAAGGCTGAGGTGGGAGGATCGCTTGAGCCCAAGAGATCGAGGCTGCAATGAGCCGAGATCGCACCACTGCACCCCAGCCTGGGGGACAGAGGGAGATTCTGTTTGAAAAGCAAAACAAAACAAAAGAATTAAGTTTGTCTGTTCTCCTATTAACTTGTCTTTTGTCAGTTAATTTGCAGGCCCCCGACCATTGAACATAAGCTGGTAGAAGAAAAAGGTTTTTCCCTGTTCCCAACAGAATGAATGAATGAATAACGAATCGATACTCCTATCATACAACACTATAAGTGATGTATTTTCTCAGTCAGGGAAGTAACTGGGTATTCAGTTTCATATCTGCACAAAAATAGAAATAGGATGTTAAAAAAAGTTTTCTACATGATGATTCCAAACTGACTAAAATAAATTCTAAACCATAATTACTAAGGTATATGAGGCCAATCATCAGAAAAGAAAACAGTAAGGTCTTTCATCACCCTGCAGATATTTGAGTCAAATGAAAATAATGTCACTTTTTTTTTTCTATTTTTTTTTAGACAGGGTCTGGCTGTGTCACCAAGGCTGGACTGCAGTGGCGCAATTCTAGCTCACTGCAGCCTTGACCTCTCGGGCTCAAGCAGAGAGGTCCATATGGATTGGAGGCCTTCTCCCATCCATATCTCTCTCCTCCCAGTTTGAGATATTAGGTTGGTACAAAAGTAATTGTGGTTTTTGCCATTATTGCTACAACCTAATATTAAAACAACTCTGGTTTTGTCACTGCCCAGCTTCAGACCCTTCAGACTGAATCTATTCTGCTTGGACACCTGGCACCATGCGAGCTCATGTGATTAAAAAGGGCATAAAGCCACCATCCTGCCATGGGACATTAACAGTCCAGTCCAGTGCTGGCTACCAGATTACAATGCATTGAGAAGAGCTAGGCCAGAGGAGTGGGCCAAAATGCTATGAGAAAAAAGTAAGATGGGGAGTTGAGAAATGATTCAAAGAGAAAAGGACACAGGACCTGGATCTGAAAAAATAAGGCTTTGGTCACTAAGTGGGACTGGGCAGAAAAGCTTGTGAGGTTGGGCATCTGCATGTCAAGCCCAGAGGTCGGAGAAGCATGGCCACCTGGAAAGTGGAAAGGAGGTTGGCCCCGCTGGACCACAGGGTGGAAAGGAAAGGGGAAGCTACAGCCAGAAGGGTGAGAATGTTGTATGGTGCAAATACCTCCTTCTACAAAAAGGAGCATCAGCTGGGCGTGGTGACTGTAATCCCAGCACTTTGGGAGGCCCAAGTGGACGGATCACTTGAGGTCAGGAGTTCAAAGCCAGCCTGGCCAACATGGTGAAACTCCATCTCTACTAAAATTACAAAAATTAGCTGGGCATTGTGGTGCATGCCTGTAGTCCTAGCTACTCAGGAGGCTGAGGCAGGAGAATTGCATGAACCCAGGAGGCGGAGATTGCAGCGAGTCGAGATTGCACCACTGCTCTCCTGCCTGGGCAACAGAGTGTGACTCTGTATCAAAAAACAAAAAGAAGCATCAAAGGTTTTTAATTTGGGGAGTCACAGGATTAAATCTGTATGAGAGATTTCTCTGATGATAACAGAGACAAATCATGAGACATGTTAAGCTATGATAGAGGGTGAAGACCTGAGATCAGGGGAGTGACTGAGAAGATGAAATGAAGGGGCTGCAGGAAAGAACGGGCATGAGGGATTAAGAGGGGATTGGGAGGGGTTTCTCAGGAAACTGGCTTGGGTTACTGGGTAGATGCCTTTACTCTTAATGAAGACATGGAAGGCAGGAAGAAGAACAATGGAGACCAAGGCTGGTTAACTCTCATCAATTGTTTGATGATTTCAATATAAACGTATTATAATAATAACATATTAAATTACTTAAGATATGAGTTCATGATCCTTCCATGTCAAAATACATCCTTGAGTCAAAAAGCTTAGCTTTGAATCAAAAGAAATAGATTTTCTTTCTGTTAAAAGACAGAAAAGTCCTTCTCTGAGAAGTGGTACTGCGTTATGTTTGAAATAACCTTGTACAATTTATACCAATCTTGGATATTATTTTAAAAATTAGAGGTAGGAAATGACATTAAAGATCTTCTTGCTCTTGGCCCGGCGCGGTGGCTTACACCTGTAATCCCACCACTTTGGGAGGCCAAGGCGGGTAGATCACCTGAGGTCAGACGTTCAAGACCAGCCTGGCCAACATGGTGAAACCGTGTCTCTACTAAAAATACAAAAATTAGCTGGGCATGGTGGTGGGTGTCTGTAATCCCAGCTACTCAGGAGGCTGCGGTGGAAGAACTGCTTGAACCCAGGCGGCGGAGGTTGCAGTGAGCCGAGATCATGCCACTGCACTCCAGCCTGGGTGAAGAGCGAGACTCTGTCTTAAAAAAAAAAAAAAAAATCATCTTTTCAACTCTAACTTAAGGAATGAAGTAATCTTAGCCCAGCAGGAGTATGAACTTTGTCTGGGGTTATGAAACTGACTGCTGGCAAAGGGCAGAACCAGGGCCCAAGGCTCCTGACCCCAGCCTGGAGTTCTTAGTAGATCTAGCTTGAATCAGAAGGAAGAAGGGGCTGGTGACCTGAAAGAAGCCGAATCCCTCTCACAGTTGTACTGCTTCAAATAAACCTTATTGTTCCAGTCAGAATGAAAAACAGTTCCTGCTTTGGGCTTCTAAGAAGTCTTTCAAATTCTAGGAATTAGTTTCACATTTGTCGTTTATAGAACCACATTAATAGTTACTGTTTGCTGACTGCTGACAACACCCTAAGTGAAGTTAAAAACATTAAGTAGCATTTCCTGACCTTGCCAACATTTTTATTTTGTTCTGGGCCGAGGTAGCCAAAGGCTTCAAGGATAATTGACACATGTATTGAAACAACTCTAATTCTACCTTCAATTGAGGTAAACATCAGAAAATAATTATTCTGCATACAAATCTTAACCATTGTGTTAAGATGATCTCTAAAGTAATTCTTCTTGTTTCCACTGTAAAGAATTGGAAGTGGAGGAATTATTTTTAGTTTGTTATTCATGGGCTGAAGTTTGAGTTCAGTTTGTGGTAATGAAATTAAAGAATTCATTTAAATCAAATATGCAGGATGCTGATAAAATAACTTTAATAAAGAATGTTGAAAACATCTAAGAAATGTAACCAAATACATAATGGAGAGTTATAAGTTATGCAAAAATACATGTTAAGGCTTAATAATTCATATTGGAAAGGTGCCCTGGCTACAAAAGGACCTTCAGGGAGAGGGACAACCATGATGGATCTCACCATCCTGCAGTCCAGAGCATCCCTGTAAACATGCATTCATTCATGTTTTGCTAACAGAACACCCACAAAAAACATCAGCAATATCACTAGCTGGCACAATGGCAAACTAAGCCAAGGCTCTTGAAGCCAGTCTGCTTGAATTCTTCCTACAGGCTCTAAAGTCCATTGGGAATACTGTAGAAGCCATTCTGGGTCAGAAATTTTACATTAATCTAATGAAATCAAAGGATAGAAATGTAAGAATGTTTTCTTTTCTTTTCTTTTTTTTTCTTTTGGGACCAAGTCTCACTCTGTAGCCCAGGCTGGAGTGCCATGGTGCGATCTCGGCTCACTGCAACCTCCACTTCCCAGGT